CTACTACTTGACCTATATTTAGCAACAATATTGTTTTAAAAATTTCTTTTCAGTATTAGCTATTTATAGTTTTAGTAAGTAGATTAACATTAAACTTGCTGTATGCTTTATATCCAAGAGATGTTGATTCTTTTTTAATGTATACCTTGTAATATATGAATAAATAAAGAATTAGTATTTATTTATGGAAAAAATATATATATATACATATATCCAAAAATCCTTTTCTACTATTCAGTATATTTATTAAAATCAGACAATTTTTAAAAAAATTAATGATATAAATACTTATATATAAAGTATATTTATGGTTATAGTTCTAAAACTTGAAATTAAATAGATTCACATAAACAAATTAAGGAAAAAGTTTTATGACAGGAATGTTTATTTCGAGTTATTGAAACCTTAAAATGACTGCATGCAAATTTGCTTAGAATTGGTGGACGACCTATTCTTTTTTTAAGTAATTTTTTGAGCTTATGTACTTTTTTAGCACATGTATCATAGAACAGAAAAAATCTACAGCTTCAGAAATCTCAGTATGTGTATGGTCAAATTTTTTTGTTATAATAATTTCACTTCTTTGATTTTCTGTTAATTCTTTTCTGCAGCACATTATGCGGTAAAAATTTAAGGATCATTTTTTAAGAAAAAATTATGTGTAACTCTTAGAAGCATTGTACGAAGATAAGGTTTTGATTTGATTTGTAGATCGTCATTGCCAAATAAATACAAAAATCTAATTATAGTAATTGATGTTTAAATAATATCATAATCGACTTTTTTGTATTCGTACGCAAGATGTTTTTTAAGTTTGTTTGATATTCACAAAACAAACATGTTGCAGAATAGTATCCTTTAGATACTTCATTTTCTCTTGTAAACCATTTCCATATTTCACTTATAGGACATCCTCCTTTTTTTTAATGTTTGAAGAACCTCCGTTAGATGACATTTTTTGTATATAAAAACAAAAAAAAAATTTTTAAGATATTTAAATAAATCAATTTATTTATTATTATCTTTTTAAAGACTTTAATAATAGTTTCGCTACTTGAAAATAAGTTTCGTTTCTTTATAAAGGTTCTAATTAAAACTTTAAATTTCCGGAATAGTGAAAGAGTTCTTCTTAGGTGCGTTCGACGAGTTGGAGGAATGCGGACCCAGAAGAACGGTCGAGACGTATTCAAGGACTTAAAAAGGCACGGATACAGAAGGAAGTCTGACTGAGTCCAGGAGAGTAGGTATACGATGCCTACCCGGAATTGGAGGGATTAGTAATATCTCTCTGCAAGCTTATTTTCGAAATTCCTGCGGAGCCGGCATTTATCCTGCAACCTACCTCGACCGGAAGAGTTTCTTCATAAGGACCCTGAGAGAAGTGAGGCGAAGATGGAATGACATCAAGCGCCTGATCGGAGGTGGTACGAAGGATCTGCGGGATGTGACTTCTAATAAAAACGAGTTATCGAGTGTTTCGCCAGTAACCACTCCGTCTCGCAGAAACCGCGATAAGTACCAGACGGAAGAATGGAACACTCACGTGCTACCGGTAATAAACAGCGAGCTGGGAGGGTGTGGGCACAAACAGTACTCCCCGCGTTCGAGATCGCCGAGGGAGCGATCGCGACGTAGGAAGAAGGAAAAAGAGAAGTTAGCGCCCGAACCAGTCGCATGCTCCGAAACAGTGGTGATCAACGAAACACTCACCTTCGACGAGAAAACAGCCCCGAGGAAGAACAATTTCGGGACGCTGGGTGGTGTCGAGGAGGCCCCAAAGCTCGCGAATAGCGAGGGAAAAGAGAGAAGCGAGAACGAATTAGCACCCGGACCAGCTACCTGTAACGAACCAATTAAACTGAATGATACAATTACCTGTGACGAGACGCTGGCCGAAGAATAACCATGCCAGAATACCAAGTGATCGCGGACGGATTTCAGCCGAAAGCGACGAGGGGAGTCGCGACGTGGAAGGAATTTCGTACGATACTCACCATGTGTGATGATCGCGAGTATTACGAGCGTTCAAGGAGGGGAAGGAAAATTGTGAAAAAAAATGGATTGAAAAAGCGGAATAAAAAGAGAAATGGGATGGAATATTAGTTTAGAAGTTTAGCGTAGTTAAGACTTAAGCAATGATAACATTAGATTAGCTTACCATGTTTATTTTTGGTTTTTAGCTTTCACGATGGAACCATTGGTTACGGGTTCCGTCTGTGTGAAGTTCTGAGTAGATGAGAAGGAGTGGAATGTAAAGGATTTGATTAGGCGACTTTTCGAATCTTAAAGTATGTCCACCATCGTGACTCAGCTTTCTAGTTCACTACTATCCTTGCACGCGGCTCTTAATTGAGTGGATACGGCAGGCTGGCTCTACGATTCAATCGTTATGAGAAGTTGGATAGATATAACTGGATTGTAATAAAACTTCACTTCCACAGTGGCCAAATTGCTGGAACGCCTTTCTATTCTTAGTACCGCTAATGGATGGAAACATGTATTAGCACCGGTGGACTTGATCTCATCCGGGTATGGTTAAAATCTGAGAGGGAATTGAACTTTAGAAATAGAGTTCATGAGCCGTAAAGGCTAAGAGGCAACTAGCAGCCAAGTTCCCTAAGACCCGTGCGTGATGGCACAGTTAATGGTGGGTACTCTGCATGCAAGTGTACTACATTAATGGAAACAGGGAAAAGGTTCACAGACTGTAAGGTCACCAGTGAAATATATTCCTATGTATACGTACCAGCAAGGTAGCATTCCTTTAATTAGGTGTGTCATGTATCTGGATTGGTGTGATGGTTTATACGGAGCTGAAAAACACAGTCGATGAAAGGAGAAATCTGTGTTCGGGCGGAACGTAACATTCCTATCCGAACTTCGGTGCATGTCATTTAGTTGGGGCCACTCTCTGGACTTAGATAGAATATTTAACTCCAGACGTCTGCCTAGTCCAATATAAGGTATAGGAACCTATACTGGGGCTACTAAGAGAAATCAAGGTGTTTTTGTAGAAACATAAATCCTTGTGTATCACTTAGAGTGAGAGCGTAATAGCTTGTTTCTCTTTCGACGATGGCTTAATAGGGCTAATACCCCTGAGCACTAAGACCCATTTATATAATGAATGTCATTTGGTCGATGGTAGTATAGTATTTATATGGTTTACGTGTAAACAAGTAGTTTACAGGGGCAAGGCTCTATACGTTTCCATGTAATATGTAACGGATACTATGTTGAAGTGAAATGGAATTCCTTATTGGAGGCATGGTATGAACCAAGACATTATGGTGTTTTCTATTAGCGAAACGTACCGAGGGTTACTGAATACTTCATGTCGGGCAGATGTATGTTTGTATCATACATGGTGTCACTCAAGAGCCTTTTGGGAACCTCAACACGAGAAGGTGTTCCGGTGGCACTGATATGACACTTAAGTCTACCGTATTGAAGGATAGGTATATACACGGGAGATACGTATAGTACTGTCTTGGGGTGGTTGTGTTGGACTACCCAAGCCTGGGAGGGTAAAGCCTATAAGCAATGCGGGCGGTGGCTGCGACTCGTGTCAGTACTGTATCGATGTAAGTTTTTAGAAAACAAAACTATAATGTTAAAGCTAAATACCTTGTAAGATAGGGATACCAAAACCAAAGCTACCATTCAGGCCACTTCAGTTCTGTACAACCCAACTTGAATGAGAGTAGCTCCCCTGTTCCCAGGGAGTGTTGAGAGAGATAGCCAACTAGGACTATTAGGGAGATCATTTCCCAAGACCCCAGGTTTTACGTGTGTTTTAGAGGGGTATTTCAGGAACCACGCATCGAAAACCGGGAAGTATGGTTTTCCCAACAACCCCAGGTTTTACGTGTATTTTAGAGGGGTCTTTCAGGAACCACGCATGAGAAAACCGGGAAGTGTCAAACTAATGGTTTCCGAACATTCAAATATGGTTTTTGAACTGTTGTTCTATTCCTACTCTGTCCAAGCGGCATTAATCAGAGCACGTTAATAAGTCTCTGTTTAGCGACAGCTTAGGGGAGTATCTCGAAACTGCGAGGTTAACGACTGGAGGAATACGGTTAAGAAAGGGACACCTAACAAGGTGTTTTACACCTAGCTCTGTCAATTGGCGTAAACTGTACGGTCACACGAGTGGTCGGTCCATGACAAATTCGACTTCGAGTCGTTTCCCTGGTAATGGATAGTCGAACTTACAGAACGTTTCAATCGCAACTAGGTCCGGCTGTATTACGAAAGCGTTATTCACGACTGTCTTTTGGAAAATGCGAAACTTTCGTCAGATTTAGACTCGTATTTAATCTCAGGATGGAATGCTAAATACAGACGAGGTAATAATATTCATTATGTAGAAAAAACTGCACTTATGACAATTCGCAGGCAATGAGTGACTCTATTGTCATCATCATCGGTAAGCTATTGCTGGTGCGCCGTTTTGGCTTTAGAGCTTGGGCTAGCAACCCCTTCATTGCTGGTCATATTTAGCGGACGCATCATTTATTCCCTTTACGTCTGTTCCAATCAATCGATACTTTAATTTTTTTATTTTATTTTTATTTTAATATTAGCGAAAAATACATATATTAATCTAGATTTATTTTTGTTAATAGCATAGTTTTATAAGGTATCCTACCTAAATAACTCTTGAAGTTGACTCTTTTTACTATTTTACATTTAATAAATATTGATTTAAAAAATACAAAATATAAAATATTTTTAATTAAAATATTTTTATATTAATTAATAATATTAATTAAATATTATATATACTGTATATATATTTTACAATTATTATTAATAAATATTCTAATAAAAAAAAAATTAAAATAAAAAAAATTAATATCTAATTAGAAAGAAATGTTTTTGCTAACAGAATAATCTAGGAATTTAACTAGATTATAACTTTTAATACTTGTAAAAAAAAAATTGAAATAAAAATTAAGTACTTGAAAATAATAATTATAATAAAATAGAAAAAATCTATAAACTAAAATAATTAAAAATATTTATTTATTATTTTATCTTTAAATATTAAAAACAAAAAAATAAGAAAGTATTTAATATATAAGCTTTGTATATAATATAGTAAATACAAAAATACTAATCAAAAAGAATATAGTAAATTGGTATGAAAATATTTGTCAAGTCTTACAAATACTTGAATATTGTTATCAATTTAGAAAAAATAATTATTAAAAAAAATATATCTATAAAATTTTTATTTTTAATTACTTATAGTACTTGTAATTTAAGAAGGCAAAATTGTTAAGAGATAAAAATATTATTGTAAATATAAATAAAAGTAAATAAGAAAAGAATATTAGATAAATAATATATTAAATATTATAAAATAATATCAAATTATATTAAAATAATATATATAGTATGGATCAAAAATAATTAAATTAATATTTTTTATTATAATTTAATAATTAATAATTTAATTAAGATTAAACTTTAAATTTATATTGTTATACTTGATTTTTATTTAAGATTTTTACTATTTCTTGTTTTATTTTTATTTGCATTTACCTATAAAATAACTTTACTTCTAAAAAGGTTCTTGTACCACTGATCTACTGTTACAGTTTCTCATATTTTTTAAATTAAAATATTCTTTTTATTATCATTGAATATTATGCTTTTTGTTCTATTAATGTTCTAGAATATTTCCTATTTTACTTATTTTTCTTTAATCACTTATATTTACCAAAGTATTTATTTCTATGTTAACACATATAAATAACTATTCTGACAAATATAACATTTCTTTTATATCTTTATTA